TCCTCGAGACGGAGGCATGCGGAGAGGCGAGGAATAAAGGAGGAGGAAGGAGGCAAGGGAGGGCAGGGACAGCGGTGCGTCCGGCGACAAAGCTCGTTATCTCTCAAGTACAAAACTTGGAATATTCTACTTGTGGGTCTGTAACGTAAAGTCTGTAAACGTAACCAAACCCAGAAAGGTACGTGCTTATGAGAAGGAAAATATGTTAAGCAGCAAAATGAACGTAACGACAAAAGTGCAACATCGTAGCAGAAAACACGTTAGTGTAGTTGTTGGTAGTGCAAAGTGCTAGCGTTTGCCGAGGAAACAAGTAAAAACATTGGGCACTGAGTGCAAAGTATGCAGCGTGTGGAGCGGCCACTGGGTGCATGTTGTGCGCGGACGGGTAGAGGCGGTAGGGTGGAGGCCGGGAGATGTGGAGGTCACAGCCCTGTGGCGGCCATTATCATACCTGCCGCGGCCACTGGACCTGCGCCGCTCTGCTCTGCTCTATGACCTTAACGGGGAGTGTTCAAGTGTACCTGCCACGCTGGACCAACATGATGCTCTTTCTCTTTTCTAAACAATGATTCTACCTCACCAAGTATCAAGAACAAACATTAAGCTACTGGACTGCGGTTCTGTGTGTCCCTGCAGACGGGTGCAAGTGAGCACAGGCGCTGGAAGGTCAAGGCAGGTGAGCTGGGAGAGGAGCAGCAGCACCAACGTCAGCGGTGATGGTGGTAGTAGTAGTGGCGGTGGTGAAGAGTGATTCTGTAGCCGCCAGGGCGCTGCGCTGTGCCCGCCCGCGGGCCGCCCGGCCACAAACCCCGCCCCCCCACTCAGTGTTCCTGTGACCGCGTTCAGGGAAGGACGTACACCGCGTCGCTCCTGACCCGCTCCGACCTTCCCCGCGCTGTGTCTGCGTGCGAGTTCATTCTCGCTGTGTGTGTTAGTGACGACGCATTTCTCAATAATCAGATTGGAAACGTTCAGTGAGATATTGATAGATTTTAGTACGGAATGAAAAATACCTCTTCTAAATTGATTGACATGTGGGATTGAAATTTGTATGGAAAGCGAATATGAAGAAATCGAAAACTAGTGTTTTGTGATGTGAGTACTTACCATATACGAAATACACCAGTTAAACATAACCGTTGGATTGAGAAAAGTTAACAAGTGAGTGTTGTTGACCTTTGAGGAAAATTGTGTGGCCTCAGAACATCTTAATCCTTTACTAATAGTGAACAAAAGAAAGACGTGTTCAGCTACAGTGATATGGTTTTTAGCTTCTCAGTCAAACGTTAGTCGCATTGTGCCACAGGTTTATCATATTGCAGCTTCAACTTTCCCAAGAAGGTAAGACTTTTCATAAGTGGTTGAGTATAGCAATGGGTGATAAGAGACACAAAATATTTATTTCCATTTTTTAAAAGTTGAATACATAGTAAAGGCAGAGAATCTCTGTGAAATCTTTATACAAGGAATATTTCGACATACGTAGGAATGATATTGGATTCTATACCTATACCGAGCGGTAAAAGTCTACGGTCACTACACACCAGGATACAATTTTTTCGTTTCGTTATAAATATTTTCGTGGAGCATAAAGTATAATCCAAACAGGTTTGCTGACGCCGAGCTCACAGTAGTGTGCTTAAACGAGATGAAATACAAGTACTAAATAACAAGTAGCGGCACGGAGTACGGAACATTCTCACTCGTCCGTGTTCAGTGGTTTGTACTTGTTTATGCTGAATATGACAACACAATTATTCACCTTGATTTTCAGTTCATTTATGTTCCCTTTTAAATGAGCGAATGTGAGTTAGACATGTGCGTTCGGCAAAGCCAAAGGCAACATGAGAAAAACAAGAGCTGGTTGAGAAATGTGTTGATACGAAAAATTAAACGAGTAAAGGTATTGCCTCTGTGGACGGTGACCCGAGTGACATGTATACAACCGTCTTGAGCTAAATTCGATAACAGGGATGTGAGTATGAAATTATTCAGGACCCGGAGCAAGTATTCAGTGTGCTCCCGAAAGTTGCTCCTTTCTTCGACTCACTGCTGATATGTGGAAAGTCAATGCAAAGTTTCGAGGAAAAGGTCCATTCCCGGGAAATATTTATGCAACCGATAATTTTTGAATGTCATTAACGATGCATCTGAAATATTCAACGGCATAATTGAAGCCCGAAGCAGCAAGATGCATGGTCGCTTAATAAAGCCGTGCGCGTTGGAGGGACGAAACATTTGTGAAGAAACGTTGCAAACGGGATTATAGTTGGGTCGAAATGTCATAAAGTATTATCTCCACAATAGTAAGCCAACGTGAGCAATAAGGTCGGGACGCCACCCTGGCATAATGCCATCACTTCAGTGAGTCTGGAAGTGTAATTAATCTCGCTCGGAATTTTATCTTTAGTGGAAATAGCGCGGCCGTTGTTGTTATGGCGAAGCGGAATCCTGATTGAGATTCATAACGAGCGGGACATTTTTGAGGCCTGGTTCGAGG